AGTTTACAGCCATCTAATACATTGCAAATTCTATCTTCTCTAACCAAGGACCTAAGAGTATTATCTGGCCGGTGTGGTTCTGTGGTTGAGCGTCAACTTATGAACCAGGAGGTCACGGTTCAATTCCTGGTCAGGGCATGTGCCTGAGTTGTGGGTTCAATCCCCAGTGTGGGGCGTTTTGCTGCTTTTCTGGGCCTGGAGTTGAAATGCAACGGAGGCCTAGATGTTATCTCTAGGGAGGAAATGTCAGGGGGGTCCAAACCCCATGATCAGTGATGTGCTAGGGGAGGAAAGGTCACCCCCAGGTCCCACACTACAATTGTCATGTGCTGGGCACCGAGGGTTTTCCGCCCTGGTGGCCTTCTGTACCTGGCTCCTCCTCCTTGCTCTGCTCATGTGTATCCAACTGTCCACCACACCCTGAGACCTCCCCTAAGATTTCCATCTGCAGCAGAGAAATACCCTCAATGCAAAGGACTCAGAGCTCTCCTCCAGGGGAGCACACCCTCATCATTCCCCTCTGGCCCCTTCTTCCCTCCAAGGGACTTCAGGAGAGTTGCAACCAGGGAATCAATTGGCAGTGGCAGCTCCTCCCGGTCTAACCCCCTGAACCTCTCCATTGCCTCCGTTTCTCTGAATTCCCAGTGAGCCAAAGCAGCCCAGCCTAGGCTGGGCGTAGGCTCTCCTATTGCTTCTTCTATGCCCTTCCTTGCTTCACTGTCCTGAGTGTGTTACTAATGCAGCCAATAAATTCTTGCTTTGTTGCACTTTGTCTCTTGACTGAAATCTTTCCTTCAAGAAGACAAGATTTGCCCTAGCTGGTTTGGCTCAGTGGATAGAGCGTGGCCTGAGGACTGAAGGGTCCTGGGTTTGATTCCACTCAAGGGTACATGTCTCAGTTGCGGGACCGATCCCTAATAGTGGGTGTGCAGGAGGCAGCTGATCACCTTCCTCTCTGAAATCAATAAAAAAATATTTTTTCAAACAGACAAGAATTGAGGTCTCATCATCTTGCCAGTTACAGTAACATCCTGGGTTAAGGCACTTACAAGAATCAACCAATGAATGCATAAATAAGTGGAACAACAAATTCATGTTTTCTCTCTCTCTCTCTCAAATCAATTTAAGTGGTTTACACTTTTCCTCCCTAGCCACAGGGTAAATAGCTTAAATCACCCTACTCACGGAGATAGACAGCAGAAATCCAATTAGTGCCATTTGCCAACAACCCCCAAGGACAGATGAAGTTAAGAGAATAAATCTCATTTTGGTACATCAGTATAAAGCTCATGAATCTTCTATTGAGATTTCCCCCTAAGATATCCCCTAAACTCCCAGCCTTTAACACCCCTCCCCCCCACAAGACAGCCCTGCCAGTGTGGCTAAGTGGTTGAGTGTTGACCTAAGAACGAAGAGGTCAAGATTTGATTCCCAGTCAGGGCACATGCCCAGGTTTCGGGTTGGATCCCCAGTAGGGGGCGTGCGGGAGGCAGCTGAGTGATAATTGTCTCTTATCATTGATGTTTCTATTATTGATGTTTCTATCTCTCTCCCTCTCCCTTCCTCTCTGAAATCAATAAAAAATACTTTAAAAAATAAAATCCTCAAGACAGACCCAGTGGGCCCTCTCCCTCCCTAGAGCATGCCTGTGCCTTTCTCTTCCTCCTCTTCTTCCCCCACAAGCCGGTTACCTTTGCCCTTCTCTCTCCTAAGCTCCAAGGGACCTTCCTTTGCCTCTGTAGCTTATTTCCTGAGCCTATGCAGCCCAGCTGACTCACTTCTACTACCTCTGTGACTATCTAAATAAACTTTCTCTTCTAGTTTGAGTCTTGGCTCTGAAATCTTTCTTAGCCAGAACTCAAGTACCAAAGTTGCTGAACCTAGGTCTGGTATGACTCCACAAGTCTAACACCTGGTGCCCTTTTGCTGCCAACAGCTCAAAGTTGTTAGTCAGCAATCCTTGAAACCATTAAAACCAACCTGTCATATTACAAGGAAGTCCTTTGTCATTCTTAGTAAACAAATTTAGAAATTCACCTTTATAATGACAGGATGTAAGTACTTATAGGTTTAACAAAAATTTGATGGTACTGACATGTAATGATTCTCTATTCTTTTTCATTAGCTATCAGAGGTGTGAGGCCAGCTGAACAATTTATCTCCAAGTACCTGTGTCAACAGTTATCTTATTCTTTTCAAGATTCCTCATCAAATGGGAAACTAAAGCTTGTGGCCCTTGGCTTCAGATATGATTTTTAGCCACGGCTTATTAAAGAATTTGGGGGTATTATAATTTTGTTTCCTCATATGTGACCTAGGTCAAGTCCCTTAGCCTCTCTGAGCCTCAAGTTGCTCATCTGTAAAATGGAGACAATATTAGTGCCCATATCATAAAGGTATTGCAAGAATTAAAAAAAAAAAAATAGAGTGTGGGCAAAAGTAGATTTACAGTTGTGAGTATTGAAAACACAGAGTTTATTCTTATATTATTTTTTTATTAAAGATATTTTTATTGATTTCAGAGAGGAAGGGAGAGGGAGAGAGAGATAGAAACATCAATGAGAGAGAATCATTGATCAGCTGCCTCCTGCACGCCCTCTACTGGGGATCCAGCCTGCAACCCAGGCATGTGCCCTTTGACCGGAATCGAACCCGGAACCCTCAGACGCTCTATCCACTGAGCCAAACCATCTAGGGCCATTCTTGTATTATTTTTTAATGTATTTTTAAAGTTATTATTGGTTTTAGAGAGAGAGGAAGGGTAAGGGAAAGAGAGAAACATTGATGTGAGACAGAAGTATTTATCAATTGCCTTCCACATGCATCCCAACCAGGGATCGAACCCACAACCTGAGTATGTGCCCTGACTGGCGGCAACATTTCAGTATCTGGGACAACATTCCAACCAACTGAGCCACACCCCCAGGGCTATTGTTTATTAATTACTGGTATTATTTTTCATACAAACTGTAGACCTACTTTTGCCCCACCCTGTTGGTAGAACACCCCGCATGTTGACCAGCATAACAAACACCAGAAAACATTTATTATTAATACAGAGAGTGGAGCCTTTAGAAAAATAGAAGTGTGATCTTTACATCATGCTTAAGTAAAGAGTTTATATGTTTATTTACCAGGTGAACCTCATATTCTTCATAGCTGTCACAAAAGCAGAGACTCTATTTGGAGGGTAATTTGACAATTTATCTGGAGAGCAGTTTTTTTTTTGTTAATCCTCACCCAAGGCTATTTTTCCATTGATCTTTTAGAGTGGAATAGAGAGGGGGAAGACAGAGAGAAACATCCATGTGAGAGAAACACATCGATTGGTTGCCTCCTGCACGCATCCTGACCAGGGCCCAGGCCGGGGAGGAGCCTGTAACCAAGGTACATGCCCTTGACCAGAATCGAACCCCAGAACCTTTGGTCCATAGGCGGAAGCTCTATCCACTGAGCCAAACCGGCTAGGGCTGGAGAGCAATTTTTGAATCATAAATATAATAATTCCCTTTGGTTTAATCATCCTACTTTTAAGAATTTTTCCCGAGAAAATAAAGATGTGGGCAAAGACTTATGTAGAGTATGTTTAGTGCAGCATTATTTATAATAGAAAAAAAATGTACATATTCAACAGTATGGGAAACAAATTATGGTGAATTTTCACTTTTAAAAATTTGAAATATGCATGTAAAACAATTGGAAGGAAATACACTAAAATATTCAAAGGTGAGTGTCTCTGGACTGTGGCATTATAGGGGATTCCTATTATATTATTTATGCTTTTCTGTTTTTTCCAAATTTTCCACAATAAATACATTACTTTCACAGTTGAGAAAAGGTTCTTTTTAATAGCCTCATATACACATTTTTTTTGCTAGGCTTTGTAAAAGACCATGCATATGAAAGAATTCCCCACGCATATGTGAAGGAACTATATAAAAATCCTCTCACCGCTACTCCAGTTGGATCTTTTACAACCTCCTCATGGACTATTGGAACAACTTCCTAATTGCTTTCCTTGCCTCCAGTATTGACTTTACCGTCCCATTTAAAAAAATTTTTTTAAATTGATTTCAGAGAGGAAGGGAGAGGGAGAGAGAGATAGAAACATCAATGATGAGAGAGACTCATTGATCAGCTGCCTCCAGCACACCCCCTACTGGGGATGAGTCTGCAACCCGGGCATGTGCCCTTGACTGGAATCGAACCTGGGACTCTTCAGTCTGCAGACCAACACTCTAGCCACTGAGTCAAACCGGCTAGGGCTTACCGTCCCATTCTTCATGCAGGCTGCTGCTAAAATGAGCTATCTATAGTGAAAAGCTGTTGTTTACCCCCTACCTACCAATCCTCATGATTTCCAAGGACTTTGTCATAAAGTTGAAACTCCTTAGCAGAGCAGGTCAATCACCAACTAGTTCCGAAACACACACCTCTTCCTGCTTCACTTCCTCTCCCTCTCCCAAGTGCCATATGACCCAAACATATTTAGTCACACTGTCATACCTTTATGTCATTGCAGACATCTGTTGTAGGCAGAACTTCACCTACAGGTGTTAGACCCATGGGATCAGACTGGACCTGGGTTCAATAACCTTGGTACTTGAGTTCTGGCAAAGAAAGAATTCAGAGGCAAGACTCAAACTATAAGAGAACATTTATTAGGAAAATCACAGGATAGAAGTAATTTGTAGAAGAAATGGGCTTAGGAGTTATAGAGGTAAAGGAAGGGCCCTTGGAACTCGGGAGTAAGGAAGGTAACGGTAGCCTGCCTGGGGAGGAGAGGGAAGGGAAAGGAGAGGGCTGCTCTCTGGAGGGAGAGTCCTCTGTCCTAAGGTTTAAAGGTGGAGATTTTAGGGGGAGATCTCAATAGAATATTCGGCAGCTTTCCAGGTATGTCCTTTCCGGGTCTAGGTCCCCACTGATTGGTTGGTGCCAGGACAGGGGATCATTATCCGATGCAGCTGGTCCTGAGGTCGGTCAGCGGTGGTGTTGCTTGTCTGGTTTTGTTGCTTTTCTGGGCCTGGAGCCTCGATGTTATCTCTAAGGAGGAAAGATCAGGGGATCCAAACCTCATGACCAGTGATATGCTAGGGGAGGCAAGGTCACCCTGGGGGCAAGGTCCCACCCTACAATTGTCCTTTGTTAGGTACCCACCTAGGGCTTTCTGCCCTGGTGACTTTCTGTACTTGGCCTATCGTCCTTGCTCTGTTCATGTCTAACTACCTACCACACATCCACTACTCGGGCTGGTAAACCCATCCTATCCTTCAAGCTGGCAGATGACTCCTCCCTAGAAGCTTGTTCTGACATAGCCCTCCGCTGGCATCACTTATTACCCTTTGGCTACCCTTTCTTTGGTGCCGACTTTCGTTCAAGTCCTTGTGGCTATTTAGTGGTTTCTATGCCCATGTACCTAACTGAATGCACCTCCAATACACTTCCTTGAAGGCTATCCATTTTTTTTTAAACTTCATCCAAGGATATGTTTTACTGATTTTAGAGTAGAGGGAAAGGAGAAAGAGCAAGACAGACAGACAGAGAGAGAGAGAGGGAGACAGAGAGGTGAGAGAGAAACATGGATCTGTTGCCTCCCATATGTACCCCAACTGGGGATTGAACCCACAACTTAGGTGTGTACCCTGACCGGGACTGGAATTGGGAACCTTTTGGTGAACAGGATGATGCTCCAACCCACTGAGCCACACTGGCCAGGGTGGAAGGCTATCGTTTTTTAAAAATTGATTTTTAGAGATAGAGGAAGGGAGAGGGATAGAGAGATAGAAACATCCAGGAGAAACATTGATCGGTGGCCTCCTGCACGCCCCCTATTGGGGATAGAGATGCAACCCAGGCATGTGTCCTGACTGGGAATTGAACTAGGGACTTCTTGGTTCATGGGTCAACGCTCAACCACTGAGCCACATTGGCCAGGCGAAGGCTAGTTGATAACTATTTTTAAAAAAAATATATTTTATTGATTTTTTACAGAGAGGAAGGGAGAGGGATAGACAGTTAGAAACATCGATCAGCCGCCTCCTGCACACCCGCAACTGGGGATGTGCCCGCAACCAAGGTACATGCCCTTGATCAGAATCGAATCTGGGACCTTTCAGTCCGCAGGCCGACGCTCTATCCACTGAGCCAAACCTGTCAGGGCTATTTGATAACTATTTAATAAGTGCTTTCTATGTGCCAGGACCGGGGCTAGGCATTGGCCTTTCTAAAAATATGTTTTCTTCTTTGCCTCTGGCCCAGCACATGCCACATGCTTACTGAATGAATGGCTGAATGAGTTATCTAGTACAGAGATCCTCAAACTTCAGTGTGAATATGAATCACTTGAGGAACTTGTAAAAATACAGATGCTGGGGCCCCACCCTAAAACTATTGAAGTTCAATCACCTGTATGTTTAACAAGCTTCCCAAATGATTGTGATGCACTCCAAAGTTTGGGATTGTTGAGAAGTCCCACTTATTTTCAGAAAAGACTGTGCCTATGCCGTTCCAGGCAGATAAAAGCCCACTCTGCATTTGTTTCCTCAAAGTAAGGAAGACACTATTTATTAAGCACCTATTAAGTATTGGGTGAGTTATATTTAGGAGCCATGCTGGCTGGGAAAAATGTCTTTTCCTTTAGAAAATGATGGTGATGGCAGTTGACTGTTTCTCCATTTTTTTGAATTTTATTTTTAAATTACAGTTTACATTCAATATTATTCTGTATTAGTTTCAGATGTACAGCATAGTACTTTACAAAGTGGTCCCCCTCTCTTTTTTTAATGTCTTGGCAAAATAAAAAAATAGGTAACTCTGGTTTGGGGTCCAATTTTTTTAAAACTTTAATTATTAAAGAAAACATGCTTATTGTACAGAATTTGAAAAATATATCTAAGCAAAGAGAACAACATAGATATTTTTGTCTATTTATTCTACCAAAACCTACCTCCATCCCACCTACCCTTAACCCCACACTAATACAAGAGTTGAGAGGAGGAATGACAAATACAGGGATTTTACTTTTTCATTTGCTATTATATCCCAAGTACTTCCCATGTCATGATGATTTTGTTGAAATATCTTTGTTAATGGCTATTTGATATTTTATTGTAATTTATGAAACTATTTCTCTTCTGTTTTGATACAGTTTTAAGGCATGTCAGTCATGATTTTCCCCATGAACGCCTTTGACTCTAGCTACCCTCCAAATGTTCATGTTACTTAAAAGTCTATCTTTGGCTCTTCTTCTTTCTCTTTCATTGATTTTATGTTTCCATTTTTTTCCAGCCCCTTCTATATGCCAGTGACTCCCTATATCCTCAGACCTCTCTCCTGAGTCTAAAGCCCATGAAAGTGAGAGAGTAATGTAAAAATAGTGGGGAGAGTCTTGACTGCCATATTGAAGAGTTGGGGTCCAATTAAAAAAAAATTAGACTAGTTCTGTAAATCCCAAATGTGGTTACTGCTGATTCAAACACAAGCCCCTTTTTACAGTATGAGCCTGTTTCCTTGGCTCTCCCTGCAGCAAGGGGAAATCACTCACAACACTTCCCAGCACAATGAAGGTTTGACACTTGCTGCAGAGTAGCGCGCGCGCACACGTGTGTGTGTGTGTGTGTGTGTGTGTGCGCGCGCGCGCGCGCGCGCGCGCACGCCTGCGTGCCTTCCCTTTCTCCCTTTCTGAGCCTGGCCAGGGAGGGAGCCATCAGGGCTGGGGGGAGTATGGCCACAATTCCAGCTCTTTTTCTTGGCAGTTCAAACCCTATTGTAATACATAAGTATTACACTCCTCTGAAGCCTGAACTTCTCAGGATAGGAGGCAGGAAGCTGAGCTGGAATATGAAAGGGTTTGAAGAGGGCTGTGGTTACACAAATAGCTCTGCTGACCCCTGCACAGGGTGCCTCGGCCTCACTGGCTTTGCTCCACTTCCTGTCGGGTTGGAGAAAATCTCCTAGAAGATCCAGCTCGGCTTGGCCAGGCCCAGCCAGACCTCTCTCTTCCCTGCCCAATTTTCTGGTCTTGGGAAATCTGAGGAGAGGGAGGGTTAGGCAGAAGGGTCTGCTCTGATCTATCTCAAGACTATTAGGTCCTCAGGCACTAATGTTGAGAGAATTACTTACTCAATATCCTGGTGCTTGATGATATGATCTTCTAGGTATTTTCTTTCTCAAAAGCCATCCTCTTGCCCAACCTCCAGATACTTCTCCTTTCTTATTTCCACTTCTTCATACAAACTTCTCAATACTGAAGAAGGAGCAACCCAAAGCACAACCTAGAGTTCTTAGAGTCTGCAGAAAGGGAGAAGTTGGAGGAGGACTGGGATTGGCGAGATGACTGGACTTAGATGACCCCAATGCAAGGACTTTCCAAAAAACACTGGGACTTCACAGAGACTGGAGCTCTAGAAGCTTGGGTGTTGGAGGCCATCTCATCCCACAAACCCACCACAATTAGGGATTCCTCCTGGGACACCCCTAGTATTGAACCCTATCAGAAGAACCTTTGTTTGGCAGCTTTACAGTTAGAGAAATCCACTCATGCTTCAAGATCTGATGATGCCCTTGTTAACAAAGGAAAGAGGGGTAAAAATCGAGGCGTGTCTGGCCCCAGAAGCCAAACAAACATCCCAGAATGTCAGTGTTCAGAATGACACTTACCTAGGTATTATCTCAAGACAGCATTACAATTTAGTCCTAACTGAGGGTCTAGAAAGATGAGTTTTGCTCAAGTCTTCGTTCTTTTCCTAAAGGCCTCCAGGAGCTGACTCTATATCTTGGGTTACATTAGCCACTCCAGGACTCGCCTACTTGACCCAAGTAGGCTCCAGTACAACAAAGGCATTCTGAAATGAATGTCTTCAGAAGTTGGGTGATACTGCAATTCTGTATTTCTAGGTTGACTCCTGTAAGCAGTGTGGGCAGCAGAGACCTGTAGGAATGCCCTGGACTGGGGTTGGAGGAATGGAGCCTCACATAGACCATGAGCTGATAGAGCATGCAATCAGGAATGGAGATGGGTCACTGTCCTTCTGGCTGAGCCTGCCTATCTCCCTGTGAGCTATATAGCCTCAGCATATCTGTTTACTTCATATCTGTGTTTATCTCCTTCCTGGACTTCCCTTTCTCCCCCCCCCCACCCTCCGGGGCTGGATCTGGTCAGTCTTCTCTACTCCCTCAAGATCCCTCCCTAGCTAATCACATGCCATATACCTTTCAGTATTTCCATGGCTTCTAAATATATGGACTGGTCTTTAATTCAGTTCTGAGCTCCAGCTTTGCAATTAGCTCCTCCCAAACACCTACACTTGGCTGACTTGTATTAATTCAACTCACTTGTATTAATTTATCAATTCACTCCCCCATACTGCTATTGGAACATCTCACCTTGTCCCCCTTCTTAACATTTCTTCAGTGGTGTCTGATCTTCCTCCCCAGATATGTGGATGGGACAGGGGTAGGGTGAGGCGGGGGTGACTGAGAGTTGGTTTGAAGTGTTCTGGGGATCTGGAACAAACAGAGAAATTATCTGAGATCCAATAGTACCGTGGTCGGCAAACCGGGGCTTGCGAGCCACATGCGGCTCTTTGGCCCCTTGAGTGTGGCTCTTCCACAAAATACCATGTGCGAGGTGCGCACGTACAGTGCAATTGAAACTTCGTGGCCCGGGGGGGAGAAAGGGGACTAATGGGGGGGATAAGGACACATTTGTAATACCTTAACTAATAAAGAATTTTTTTAAAAATATATTTTATTGATTTTTTACAGAGAGGAAGGGAGAGGGATAGAGAGCCAGAAACATCGATGTGAGAGAAACATCGATCAGCTGCCTCCTGCACACTCCCTACTGGGGATGTGCCTGCAACCAAGGTACATGCCCTTGACCGGAATCGAACCCGGGACCCTTTCAGTCCGCAGGCCGACGCTCTATCCACTGAGCCAAACCGGTTCGGCAATAAAGAATTTTTTTTTAAAAAAAGGAAAAAAAATAATATTTGCTAGAGCCAAGGATATTTAAATAGCAGAATTTTATGAGAATATACAAAATAAATAATTTTGCATAGTAAAAAAAAAAAAAAAGAAAGAAACTTCGTGGCCCATGCTTAAAAGTTGGTATTTTGTGGAACAGCCGGTATTTTGTGGAAGGGCCACACTCAAGGGGCCAAAGAGCCACATGTGGCTCTCGAGCCGCGGTTTGCCGAGCCGCAGTTTGCCAACCACTACAATAGCAGGTCAAGAGTAAGGAAAACAGTTTAGAGGTGGATTACAATGCCAAGTAGAGCAAAGCATGTGAGGAGAAAGTATCCTGTGACAAAACCACAGGGATCAGAGCTGGAGGAGGCTACTGGATGAGAAGAAGCCCCACAGGAGGAAGCGAGGCAACGCTAGAATCATGGTTGGTCATCATTTCTAAGCATCACTCATGTATCTGGTGTGTGAGAGTCAGGAACAATCAGAGAAGCTAAGGAACAGAAGAAAACTAGCAGACTGTCATCTACTCCGTAGCAGAACATTCAGATCCTTTCCAACCTGATTCATGCTTACTTCTCCAGGTTCACCTTTTTCACTCCTCAGCTCACCCCAGTACTACAGGCATTTTCCTGAATTCGGTGTGACTCCTGTGATTCTATGTACATGCACAATTCCCTCTGCCTAGAGCAGCCGTGGGCAAACTACGGCCCGCGGGCCGGATCAGGCCCGTTTGAAATGAATAAAACTAAAAAAAAAAAAAAAAAAAGACCGTACCCTTTTATGTAATGATGTTTACTTTGAATTTATATTAGTTCACACAAACACTCCATCCATGCTTTTGTTCCGGCCCTCCGGTCCAGTTTAAGAACCCATTGTGGCCCTCGAGTCAAAAAGTTTGCCCACCCCTGACCTAGAGTATCATTGCCATTGGTGTCTACTCAGTGAAGACCAGCTCACCCTTGTAGATGAGCCCCAGATTTCTCAACTCCTTCAGACACAGTGAGTAATTCTAATGTCACCTGAGGTATACCTTCTTACCCCAATTATTTCATTGCCACATTATGTAATAATTGTTTATCTGCGTGCCTGAACTGAACTGTGTACTCCATGAGGAAAGAGCCTACATCTTACTGACTGTTTAAACTCCAGCACCTGCCTGGTTGGCATGGCTCAGTGGCTGAGCGTTGACCTATGAACCAGGAGGTCATGGTTCGATTCCCTGTCAGGGCACATGCCCGGGTTGCAGGCTCGATTCCCGGTGTGGGGCGTGCAGGAGGCAGTCAATCAATGATTCTCTCTCATCATTGATGTTTCTCTCTCTCTCTCTCTCTCCTTTCCTATTTGAAGTCAATAAAATTATATTTTAAAAAATAAACCCCAGCACCAAACATACTGGCTAGCACATACTTGGTGCACCCTAAACATTTCTTGGGTGAATAAATGAACAGATTAATGGGCTCACATTCTCATAGGGGAGACAAGCAAGTAAAGAGAAAATTTCAAAGCTGTGTGAAAAGGGCCATGCTAGTAGGTGAACTTGTTGTAATGTACCCCGCAAATCACAGAAGGACGCCTCAAGAAGTCGAATTAAAGGGTCACATTTATTGCAATCCGGGACTATGAGGGGCCATTCCCCAAATCTCATAGTGATAAGATGGCTGCAAAACCAGACTTATATAGGCAAAGATCACAAAGGTATTGATTACATCCCAAGGTTTGGAATGAGGAACCTGGTTTGCAAAAAAGCAGTTGACAGAAGCAGAAGCAGCATGTTAACTAAATCACAGTTTTGGGTCTCCAGAACACTGAGTCAACAGGGACACGTTAACTGGAGCCCTCTGACCTTGGGATAATTGTGCTGTCCTTCCCAGGTAAAGGAAAATGTGCTCTCTAAGACCAGCATGACCACAACCAATGGGATATCCACATTACAATCAATAGGGTATTTAATCGAATGGGGTGATTTATATAATTCAGAAAATTAAAATAACTTTTCTATTATTAAACAGCAAATAAGTACAGAAGCCAAACAGCAGGGTTAAAGTTAAACTATAGTTTCTACCTGAGATGATTGCTACCATATTTCAAACTTGGGTACAGAGAGGAAGGAATGCCTCATTTCAGGCAGTTGTACCCCACTTTCTCCCCCTTGCATTATGCAATTCAATATAAAAACACCAAACAGTAAAATAAAATTTTATTTTTGAGACAAACAAGATATCTTATCCATAGGAATGCAATCAGATAAGCCCTTTTTTGGGAAGGGGGCAGTGCCTTGTTTTGTTTGTGACTATCAGTTAGGGTGCTGGCAAAGTGAAGAATGTAACTGAAGAGAATGTAGTAACTGCTGGCAGAGATGTGGGCAGGGTTGAAGAAACCAGTCAGGGCTGAAGAGGCACTTAAAAACTTGCAACAGCTGGAGGCTGTTGCCACATCTAAGCCTGAGGTCTAGGGTGGGAGCCTGGAACTCAATGAGGAGCTCAGCCACTGTCAGAACCTCAGCTTGGCCCAACAAGCTGGTGATAGGGGAACCCCAACCACGCCCTTTCCCCACAATCAAAAGCTGCCTCCAGCTCTCCTTAGCTAAACTCAATCAGAAGCCAGAGAGCAAGAGAGCCCTGGTGATAGTTCATAGAGGTCATACTCCAGGGTGGAGAGGGGCCAACAATGGATCTGGGTGTTAGGAGAGCAAACAGACAACGATCAGCACAGAGGGAAGATGCCTCTACGCTGCAGGCAATCTGAGTGTATGATCATTGCCTTTTGGGTAAACATTAATTCGAGCCTTGCGGATGACAATTTTATGTCTCATGTTTTGTATATTTAGGCATTTGTGTGTCCAAGCGCATTGAAATATGTGCTGCTTTATTAGTGGGTCTGGGTGGGTACCTATGTTTTTAAAAAGCTTTCCAAGTAATTTTGATAGTCTTTGCTTTTTAAAAAATAATTGTACTTATTGATGAGAGAGAGAGAGAGAGAGAGAGAGAGAGAGAGAGAGAGAAGAAACATTGATTTGTTGTTCCACTAGTTTATGTAATCACTGGTTGCTTCGTGTATGCGTCCTGACCAGGGATCATACCTGCAACCTTGGCGGACAGGGACGACACTCTAAGCAACTGAGCTACCAGCCAGGGCAGATAGTCTTTGCTTTTTGAAAACCACTTTTATAGTCCCACTCTCTCATGTTTTAGAGAAGGAAATTAATGTCCAGAGTAATGGAAAAATGCCATTTTTAGGTGACGTTAAAGGGTTTGGCTAGAAAAGTGACAGGTTTGCACTTATCACAGAGCCCAGTTCGTTCTTCCATTTTACTGATGAGGAAACAGACTGCTAAGATGGAGTGATGGTCCCACTTAGTATTATAAGTCATACAGTCAGGTAGTGAGTTAGTTATATAGTAAGTCACAGAGAAGGAGGGGCTAGCACTAAGACCAGTATTTTTAACTCTTAATCCAGCATTCTTCCAGGCAGCACACTTTGCAGGAAGGTGTGTGTGTGTGTGTGTGTGTGTGTGTGTGTGTGAGAGAGAGAGAGAGAGAGAGAGAGAGAGAGAGCGAGCACGACAGGGAGAACGAACCCTGGGGGCAGCAATTCTAGTGTTCTAATCTCCTGTTCTGGTGAGGTGGAAAACAGAGCAGGCAGGCAGAGTGCATTGGCCACTGGGGCTCTATGCAGAAAGGGCCTGGAGGGACAGGGGAAGGCTGTGGGTGACCTTCAGTCAGGGATGCAGAGTCAGATATTTTAAAGGACACTAGGCGGGCTTTTTCTGGGTGGAGAACTCTCTGGGTGGGTTGGGATTCTGGGAAAGTCTGGAGGGGAGAGATAATGGTCTTAGCAAGAGGAATGTGGTTTAAGCCAAAGGGAATGTCTGTTGTGAAGTGGTCTAAAGGTCAGTTAAAATATATTTTTATTGATTTCAGAGAGGCAGAGAGAGGGAGAGCTAGAAACATCTACACTAATAAAAGAGAAACATGCAAATTGGTGTCACACCGCTACCCTTCCCATTGGCTAATCAGGGCGATATGCAAATTAACTGCCAGCCAAGATGGCGGCCGGCAGCCAGGCAGCTTGAAGCGAACATGAGGCTTGCTTGCTTCAGTGACGGAGGACTCCAACGTTCCCCGCCTGCCGCTGCCGGCCTCTGAGCTTGCAGTTTGAAACATTGTTACAAATATAGAAGCTAAACAAAACCCCAGAAACCTGCTTTCAGCCAGCCGGGATCTCAGAGCTGGAGTTGAAACAGTGTTTCAATTATAGAACCCAAACAAACCAGATACTTGCTTTCAGCAGCCGAGGCCTAAGAGCTGGAGCCAAGCCTCAGAGCTAAAGCTGTCCCAGAATTAAAAAAAAAAAAAAAAAAAGGAGCTGTTGGGAGCTTCAGTCACCCACCAGCCTGAAAACGGCCCTCAGCCCCTCACCCAGACTGGCCAGGCACCCCAGTGGGGACCCCCACCCTGAAGGGGGTGTGACTAGCTGCAAACAGCCATCAGCCCCTCACCCAGGCTGGCCAGGCACCCCAGTGGGGACCCCC